CGCCCTGCCTGGGGTGGCGGCGGGCGGGGTGCACACAGCAGGTCAGGGTCAGGCACCGGTCCCCAGGGCCCGGGGCACGGGACTCCCACACCGCAACCCCACCCCCCCCCGCCGACTCCCCCATCCCAACAGCCACTCAACTCAGCTTCTTGGAAAAGGCTGTTCTCGGGTCGGCCCAGCAGGTGCCCAACGTTGATGTCAGCCTCCCAGAGCGTCCTGGTCGGGTGCCCAGGTCGCCGCGGGCCCGGGCTGGACAAGAGCCCCAGGCTGGCTCCTCGGGGCGGGCTCCGGCCTCGGCTGGCACCCCGAGTTCGAGCCCCCCGGGGGCTGGAGGGGGGGCCGGAGACCCTGATGTGCAGTGGAGGCCACTTCCTCCAGGCAGCGCTCCCGGCCGCTGCGTCCCGCCTCCAGGCCGCTGCTGGTTCTGAGCTCCGCCGGAGCCGGTGTTTGGGTGACGGGGGGCCAGGCCCTGAGCTGGGCCCTCCTCACGTGCTGGGCATGGTGGCCTCCCGACTCCCAGGGGAGGGTCCAGGCCTCCAGGGGCTGGGTGCCTGTCCCAGCCTGGAGGACAGTGGGTAGGGGCCCAGTGGGCATCGCCCGGGTGGACAGGGAATGAATGTGGCCCCGACCTCGGCCACTGTCTGGGTCATGGGGCACAGAGGACCCATGTTAAGGGGCTGGCGCTGCTTCTGGGGACCCCTGGTCTCTGGGGAGGGCAGCACCCCGGTAGGCCCCCTCCCCCAGGAAGCCCTCCGGCCAGCACCAGGTCCCGCTAACTAACGAAAGCACCGGGAAAGGAGCCGGCACTGGGGCCGGCGTGGTGGAGGCGGGGTCCGCGGTGGACGGAAGGAAACGTTCGTCTTTGGCAGCCGTCCGTCCCTGCGGCCACGTCCTCAGGAGCCTTCTCCCGCCGGGGCAGTGACGCCGCCCCCCAACGTGAACTCGGGCGCGCTCCCCGGGCCGCAGTCCCCGCGGCCTCTCGGAGGTCACTCCAGGCCCCAAGAGGCTTCCCGGGGCGCCTGGCACCCCGGGAGGCTGAGCCCCACACGACCCCCCCCACACACACACAGGACGGGGGCTGGCTGCAGCACCCGCCCGCCCCCGGCTGTGGGAAAGGGCCCCACCAAGCAGGCCGTCCCTCCAGCGGGAGTTAGTTGGGTGACAATCTTGCTCCCTCACCTCTGGGTGAGATCAGCTTCGTGGGGGGCTGGGGTGTCGCTGTGGGGGAGGGGCAGTGCCACCAGGGGGAACAGCCGTCCCCCGGGGACTAGAGTGGGGGGAGGCGAGGGAACGGGGCTCCGACATTCAATCGCTCTCCGCTGCTGCGGGCCTGGCCTTATCTGTTGTCTCAACAGAAAGGGCCGCCTGGGGTCTGTCACCTGGGGCGGGGGGCGGACAGGAAGCGCCGGCAGGGCACCCGGTCTCTGATACGGGCCGTCACACTGCGCCCAAACCTGGACACTCGACAGTGGGACACCCCCCCCCCGCCCCCGCAGCCACCACCAGACACAGCACTGTCCTGCGGAGCCCGGCCCGAGCCCGGGGGCCTGCCACCTGGCCCGGCAGCCCCGGCCCCGGAGCAGGAGGGCGGAGGCGCGGCAGCCTGCTGCTGCCCCCGCACCGGGGAGAGGTGCCCGCGCAGCTGGCCCTGCCCTTCTGGGGTCGGGTTCCCGATGTGTGTGCGTTTCCTGGGCCGAGTCGCAAATCCCCACCCCGTGACAGCTCCCAACTCTGCCCACGCGTCTCGAGGCGTCCCTGGCGCAGAGGTCCAGAGGGCAGGGTGGGCCCCTCCGCTCGGGGTCTCTCGGGGCTGAAACCACGTTGGGACGCAGGGGGCCCTTTGGAGGCAGCTGGGGGCCTCTCCCGGGGAACACTCAGGGAAGAGGGAGGGAGGGAGGGAGGGGGAGAGGGAGGGTGGGTGGTGCTGGTCAGGACCCCCGGGGTCTGCGTCTGCAAAGGGGCCTTTCCTACAGGGTGCCCGGCCTGGGGCCCTGGGGCGCCGTCTCTGCTGCAGGGAAGCCCCCCTCCCACAGCCCCCCCTCGGCTCCCGGAGGCCGAGCACAGCCTCGGAGGAAGCGGGAGCCCCCAGGGGCTGGCGGGAGCTCCCAGCACCCAGTGACGGGAAGGCCGGACCGGATGACCTCCAGCCCAGCCCCAGCCCCAGCCCCGACCCAGACTGTCCCAGGGCTGGTCCTTCTTTGGGGCCCAGTGACCCTCTCCAAGGACATCACCCCCCCACACTTATGCTCTACGCTTCATGTGACGTCTGTGGGTGCTGCCTGCAGGGGACCCAGGACACCCGCGGGCCCGGAGGGGCCGTCCTGTGGGAGCTCTGTCACCCCGCCAGGTCGGGGCTCAGGCCGGCCGGCAGCCGCTCCAGCTCCCCAGTCTGAGCGAATGCGGCTTTTTCCCTTTGTAGCACTTTTGTAACGATCCCAAAATGAATATTTATAGGGCAGGGATGAGGGAAGCAGCTAACTGCGGCCGAGATCCTGTTGGATCAACACTCCCGGCCTCCCCGGGGGGCAGCAGGGAGCCCGAGCTGCTGCCTTAACCCGGGGCCCGGGCTCCGGGGGCGGCCGGAGGAGGGGCTTAGAGAACCCCGGGGCCCAAGCAGAGGGCACTGCTGCCCCCCCCGCCGAGCTGTTGGCCGAGGGGAACCCCAGGGCCTGGTGCGGACTGGGAGTGAGGGCCCCACCGGGTGCCCCTGAGTGTCTGTCAGGGCAGCTCGCACTGGGCCGCCTGGGACTGCCGAGGTCCCCTCAGACAGGAGACGTCCTCCGAGGTGCCCCCTCTGCCCCCTTCAGCCAAGCCCCAGGGCGGGGCGGGGAGCAGGTGCCCCTCGGCATCGCCCCTGTGTCTGTCTGGCCTGACGGGAGGGGCGGGCGGCCGGTGGGGGGTGTCCAGCGCTGGCCACGAGGAGTCCGCTGCAAACCAGGCCTGCTCCGGCCCCTGGGCACAGGTGCGGTGACCCTGGACGGCAGCCCCGTCTCCGCCTCCAACAGCGTGCAGGGGTGACACTTCGGGCTAAGTGGGTTGGAAGCCAAGCGGGGTAGAGGTCTGGGGTTCTCTCAGCTCTTGGGGTCCTGCAGACGCGAGCGGCCTCTCAGCTCGAAAGGCAGAGAGTCTTAGCAAGAAGGGCTTCCTGGGCCCCCACCCCCACCCCACGGGGGATCTGCTCACACCTGCTGGCTAGGCCCCCCCGTCCTGGGGGCTCTAAAATAGGTGCCCTCTGTCCTCAGAGCGCAGGGGCGACCCCCAGGGCCCCAGTGCTTAGCCTGGACCCCTGTGCCCCTCCAGCCGGCCGCCCCTGCTCCCCTCGCCCCCGCTCTCCCCGCCGGGGACTCTGGGTCAGCAGTAGGGGCTCACCGTGGAGCAGGACCGAGCCCCCTGCGTGGACCCCCAGTGGCACTGACCCTCTCAGGAGGCTCCAGGGGTGCCACGTGGGTCGGCCCCCCCATCCCCCCGCCCCCACGGAAGCGTCCTGAGTCCGGATGACAGTGAAGCTGTCACCATCGGGACCGGGCAGCTCTGGAAACAAACGGCTGTCCGCTGGCGTCACGGCGGAGAGACACAACTTCCTTCACGAGCTGGCGGGGAGGCCTGCCCACCACCCACCAAGCTGGACATGCACGCCGTGTGTGTGTGAGCGTGTGTGCGTCCTGCGTGTGTGTCTGTCTGTGTGCACGTGTGGCTGTGAGGGCTGGAGCCTGGCGTCTGGCAGCCCGTGACCTCCCGGGGCAGGGCTGTGGCAGTCACAGTCCCCCCCTCGGGCACTTCTGCCCCTCCGGCTGCCAGGGCGCCCACGGCCTCCTCTGAGCTTCCCCGGATGCCGGGGGCCCGTGCGGGCCGGGCCAGCGGTCAGCTGACGCCGGGCTGCTGGGCCTCCTAAAGGCTCTGAGAAGTCCCGCAGACAGGCCTGCTCTCCGCCGGCCGAGCGCAGATGCCCACCAGTGCCACCGCCGTAGGAGCCCCTCTGGGCCTCAGAGGGGGCCGTGGTCCTGCCACCCAGGCCCCAGGCTGCTCCTGGCTGTGGGTGCAGCCCCTGCATGCTGAGGGTGCCCCCTACACCGGTCCCCGGCTCAGGCCAGCCCCACTCGGAAGGGCTGGTTTGCTGGGAGCCGCCGGAAGCTGGCCAGGGCTTCCTCCAGCTGCCTCACCTCCATCGATGGCTGGGTGGGCCCCTCCCTGGCCGCCCCTGCAGGACCAGCCCCTCCCCAGCCCCAGGGCCTTCCTGAGATGTGTGGGTGTCTCTGGGGGGCAGGTGCGCCGTGAGCGCCCCCTGCTCTGCTCCCCCTCAGAGCAGGCTCTCTCCTCTCTGGGTCCAGAGGGGGGTCCCCTGGACAGAGCGTGCAGGGGGTGGGCTCCCTGGGGCTGCCGTGACGAACGGCCACCCAGTTTGCGGTCTGAAACGGCACCTTTACCCTCCCACCGCTCCGGGGGTTGGGGATGTAAACCCGGGTGTGGGAGGGGCTGGAGCCTCCACTTCACCCCCACCCCCCCGCCTCTGCCCTCCCGCCCACCCCCCACCGTGGTGACCCTGTGGCCCCACCTAGTAACCAGGGCCCCTCACTGAGGGACACCTGCAAAGCCCCTTTGGCTGCTGAGATGACGCATGCCCCGTGGGCAGGTCCTGGGGCCCGAGTGGGGGCCTGTGTGGGGAGGGGCGCTGTTCCGTCCCCCACGGGGACACTCCCAACGCAAACGGGGCCGGGGCCTGTGAAGTCCCCTACAGAGTCCCCAGCCGATCTGGGACTGGGGCACTGGGACAGCCCGTCTTCCCCGGCCTCTCTGCCCCTCCCCTGTCTCCCCCGCCGCCCCAGTGGGGCTGGGGCTCCAGGTGTCAGCAGAGGCAAAGTCGGAGCCGTGCCCAGGCCCCACGGAGGGTCAGTGGGGAGAAGCCGGACCCCGTGCCTGACTCGTCTTGACTTACCATTTTTTTTTTGTTTTTTAAAGATTTTATTTAGTTATTTTCAGAGAGAGGGGAAGGGATCAAGAAAGAGAGGGCGAGAAACATCAATGTGTGGTTGCCTCTCGTGCGCCCCCTGCTGGGGACCTGGCCCACAACCCAGGCACGTGCCCTGACTGGGAATCGAACCGGCGACCCTGTGGTTCGCAGGCTGGTCCTCAATCCACCGAGCGGCACCAGCCAGGGATTTTTTCTTTAATTGAAGTGGAATCCGTGTAACATCCTCCCTCTGCATCCCCTCCCCCGGCCCGGCCACCACGCTCGGTCTCTGTCCCTGCGTCCCGCCTGCTCACCTGCCCAGCGCCCCCTCCCCACGCCGGGGCTCCGCTCCCCCGTGCTGGCCTGTCCGGTCATCGGGGGACGCACCTCGGGGCCGTCTCCGCCTCACGCCGGTGCATGAGGGACTGAGTCCGGATTCCGAGTTTTGGGCACACACGCAGGAGGGGACTCGCTGGGTGTAACGAGCGCGACCCGCCGAGGGGCCGCCAGAGCCGTCGCCAGAGCCGCCTGCGTGTGCGCCTGCACCTGTCCCCGCCGTCCCCGGCCCCGGGCGGGCTTCCGGCCCCTTCCTGTCCTCGCCGACACTGCTGGTGTCCGCCGCGGGGCTTTGGTGGCTCCAGGGCCGTCCCGGTGGCCACAAGACGCGCCTCACCGCGGCTCTCGTCCGCGCTTCTGCAGCGACCAGGGACTCCGAGCCCCTGCCCCGGGCCTGGGGCAGCCGTCCGTCTTCTCTGGGGGACGTGCACTCGAGTGCCGGCCCGTCGCTGCGCCGGGTGCTGTGTGTACCGCGGCGTCCACTCACCCCTTCGTTCCGGCCCCTGCGTGGTGGGAGCTGAGGTGGGTGAGTGAGCCCTGGCCCCCCAAAAGTGCACAGCACAGCGTCAGCCCCTGCGGAGCCCACCCCTCGGCTCAGCCCCGAGGCCACCCCCCAGGAGGGGCCAGGCCCCCGAGTCCCAGACGGCGACGCGGAGGCTCAGGGGCATTAGAGGTGCCTCTCACCACCGCCCCCCGCCCCGTGCACCCCGAACCCTCCTCCACCGCGCATTGGGGCTCACACCCCAACGGGGGCACTGGGTGGGGCTGGAACCGGCCCCGCTGGGGTCTTCCCAGGCCTGAGCCCTCTCTCTTCCGGCAGGAAGAGGGGACGCTAGAGCAAGGACCGCCCGGCCTGCGCCCCGGGGACCGCGCTGCCGGAAACGCTCTCAGCCCGAAGCCACTGCCCCCAGGGGCGTGCTCAGGGCTCCATTACCGTCCTCGGCTTCCAGGAAACGCCGCTCCACCCTCCGCTCCGCTCTCGGGCCCGCCGGGGCGGGCGGGGTGCCGGAGCCACCCTGGCCGATCCCTGGGCCCCCAGGGTGCGCAGTGGGGCTCCAGGCTCGGGGGGGGGGTTCGGCCTTGCCCTCCCCGCTCAGGCCCCCCCTTCTGCCGCGGGGCAGCACCTCCCCCGGGGACAGCGCCTCCTGCACAGGACCTCAGGCCTGTGGCCGCCTGCCCTCCCCTCCCCTCCCCTCCCCTCCGTGAAGACTCTCCCTCCCACCTGCTTCTCTTACGCAGGAAAGAGACCCCTGGGTGCCCTCACCTGACACCCCTTTCTCACGAACACCTCCCCTCAGTCAGCAGCTCCCGCGGGCACGCTCTCCAGGGCCGCCTAGAGCCGGAGCAGCCTCCACACAGCGCCGCACCTCCGGGGTCTGAGCCCGCGGCCTGGTGGCCTGGGCTCCTGGCCACCGCGCTCCCTCCGCAGTGGCCCTGCCCCTGCCCGCCGGCCGTGGGTCTGTCGCCCTGACGTCACCTGGGCCACCCAGCCCGGGCCCCCCCTCCCCATGCCCCCTGGATCCCTCACCCTGAGCAGCACCAGCTGAACTGCACACCCTCCCTGCCGGCGCCCAGCACGGGAGCCGCGGCCCAGGCGTGGCCGCTGAAACCGAAAGCGGGGGAACCGCCGAGGGTCAGGCAGGGGTGTGCGTCTGCAGCCGGGCCACGGTGCTGCGGGCTCTCGGCAGCCGTGGGGGCCGCACGGCCTGGCTGGGGCGCTCATAGCCACCCACCCCGGAGGACTGGCCCCCACCTGGCTGCGAGGGCGGCCCGCCCTTGGTGGGGCAGCACTGAGGGGCAGGCTGTGGGGGCTGCTGGCTGCTGCTCTGCTCCTCTGCGCCAGGACCCTCTGCCGCCTTCCCGAGGACACCCGGGAGGAGGCCCCGGTGGGGCCTTGGCATGCTCTGGGCCTCCCTCCCCAGCATGGCGGTCGCCCTGGGTGGTTTCGCAGGTGCCCGAGACAGGGCCCCCTGGGTCAGTCTTTACGGGGCTCTGGAAGGAAGCAGAGGCCGGGCTGTCCACCACTGCCCCCAGCCCTGCGGCCCTGGGTGAGTCGGACCCCTCCCAGCCCAGCTCCTCTTTGGTGAAGTGGGGTGATAGGGTGCCCACCCCTTAGCGCTGCTTTGAAGACCAACAGACAATCAATCCCCAGGGAGCCCTGGGGTGCCCAGAGACACTGGATTCGAGCACAGACAGCTCTGTCATTCGGCTTGTCCTGGGGACCTCGGGCACCTCCAGACACCCGCCACACCCCTGGCCCCCCGCCCGGGCCTGTGAGCACCGGCCGCCGTCGGGAGGGTGACCGCGAAGGTGATTCACGGCCGGGCCTGCCCCACCCCCTCCCTCTGGGCCTCAGAGCATCGCTGACAGGAGCCAGCCTGCCCGGAGCAGCGGGAGGGCCGAGAGGAGAGGCACGGGGCACGGGGCCGGGGGCACACGGGGCACAGGGGACAGGTGGGCGTGGGCAGTTCCGACGCCACCCCCCACACCAGCTGCTGCCCCTCTGTCAGCTGGAGGCCAAGGGGCTCTTTGGTTTCCAGGAAAGTGCTTGGGTGGGGGCAGCTGGAGACGCTCGGGGCGCCCACCGCCCTCGGGGAGAACCGACCTCGGCCCCCCAGCTGGGCCCGGGGGCCTGGGAGCAGAGCCCGCGTGTGTCCCCATCGTGGCCCCCGAGCCGTTCCAGGCTTCCCCAGGGTCTGGCCCGCCGGGCTGGCCTGGCCTTGCCTCCCCGGCCCCCTGCCCCCACACACACACTGTCCAGAGCCTCCTCCAAAAGGCAGCCGAGCCCCCACCACCCTCCCTGCCCTCCTGGCCTGGTGTGGGGCATGGGCGGATCCCAGGGGTGAGCCACGGAGAAGGTCCCCTCTGCACCCTGAGTCCTGAGGCTGGTGCCCTCTGGCCCAGACGCCCTCCCCGAGTGCCCGCGGAGCCGGGGCGCAGGGGCCCAGGGCTCAGGGGAGGGTGGAGGGCTGTGAAATCACAGCGGGTCGCTGGGGCCTTGGGCTGCACCTGGTCAGGACACACAGAGACACCCTCGGCCCCTGCGCCCCAGCTCCTGCAGGCCACTGCTGGCCGCCAGGGAAGGGGGCCCACCCTACTGCTTCGGCCCCCTGTCCGGCATCCTGGGGCCCCCAGAAAGGCAGGGAGACCTGCCCAGCTCACTCAGCTGTGGGGGACAGCCGGCCCTGTGAGGACACGCCCCATGCACTGTTGGGGCGTGAACCCCGGACAAGGGCGCCTCGGCAGCGACCAGCGCGTGGTCTCCTGGTCTCCCGAGCATGCACATGCCCGGTTGCGGGCCTGGTGGCGTGTGGCAGCTCATCGGCCTGGCTTCCTGTCCAAGGTGACCTGTGGGCGTCACTGTTCAGGGCTGGCTTGGGAGCCTCCGGAGACTTGGGCGGCCCGTCACTACCTGACCTGATCCCCAAAATGGACAGAAGGGCAAAGCCTGGGGGGCACCAGGTGGGTGGGGCCCAGCTTGCTGGAGGCCGAGAGCGGGAAGGAGGCCCCGGCTCCTCTGGCCAACCCCGTGCCCCGGGAGTCACCTGGGTCTCCCCAGGGCACCCCTGGGACTGGGCTGCGTGGCCCGGGAGGCCGTGCCAGGCTGCCGAGAGGGCCTCCGTGCAGGGCCCGGCTAAAAATAGCAGGGGGACGGCGGGGCAGGGACAGCCGGTGGGAGGCTGGTGGGGAGGGGCCTCGAGGGGCCGCGATGGCAGCCCGGGCCGGGGCGCCGTCAATGGTGCTGGCGCACCCACCCTGTTCCCGGTGGCCGGCCAGCCGGCAGCCCAGCTGACGGGCTATTTTTTCCCTGCTTGACTAAATATGGTCAGGGAGCAGAGCCCGAGGGGGCCACTCGGCCGGCCGCGTGTTTGGGATGCTTGGCCGGGTATATAAGGACCGCCAAGGTGAGGCCCGCTCCTGACACCAGGGGGGCCCCACGCCCACCGGGGCCCTGGGGCCAGCCCTCCCCACGGTCCCCTCCCCCGCCTGCGCGCCTGTGCGAGCCTGCACGCATCCCGGGTGTCCCCTTTTGTTCCAGCCTGACCTCTACCTTGCGCTGACCCCGGCTGGGGGTGCAGGAGCGCCCCGCGGGCGGCTGGAGCCCGGCGCCGGCCGGGAGGGGCTCAAGGTGTGAGGGGGCCGGGGCGCTAGCTTCTCCTCACCTCTGCGCTGCCCGCCGCTCCGCGGTCCCCCCTCCCGCCCGCCCTCCCCCTCTCCCCGCTCCCTCTCCGCGCCCAAGATCTCCCTGCCTGCCCCGGCTGCGCTGTGGCCGGAGGGCTGGGGGAAGGGCAGGGGTGCGCGGAGGGGGTGCCGGTGTCTTCTTTCTCCCAGCCTCCCCCACCCCCAGGCGCGAGTGCGTCGGGAGCTCCGGCCTCCCCCACCCCTGCATTCGCGATTGGCTCCGGGAGAGGGTGGATGGCGCTGCCGCGGCTGCAGCATCTCCCGGAGCGCCGCGCGGGGCGCACCGTACCGCGAGCCGCGACCCTGCGCCCGCCGCCGGCGTCGCCAGCCCGGCTGGAGGGGCTCCTCGGTGAGTCCCGCGCTGCCCGCCCTGCCACCCCCGAAAACTTGCCGGCGCCGCGGTGGGGGTGTGCCCGGCGCGCGGGGAGCCGCGGCGCGGGCCGCGTGGCCCCGGCGGGGGCGCCTCGGAGTTTGCTCTGGCTCGCGGCGGCGTCCGCATTCGGAAAACTGCAGAGCCAGCAGCCGGCAGGGCCGGCGGGGCGCGCCCAGCGGGGATGCGCGAACTTTGACAGGCGGGCGCCTGGCGAGCGAGCAGCCGCCTGCCGACGCCGGGCGGACGGGGGTCGCGGCGCGGGGGTGGGGGCGGGCGCGGTTAACCCGCCCCGGGCGACAGAGCGCCGCCCAGACCAGCGAGCGGCCGAACTTACCTCGGACTCGCCGCACTGACAGCGGTGCGGGGCGGGGCGGGGCCCTGGCGCGGGGCGGCGGCGCTGCCCCAGGCGGGGTCTCTGGACTTCTGTGGCTCCCACCGGGGCCCGGGGGGTCTCTATGCTGGGCGTGCACAGCGGGGTGCGCGTGGGCGGAGCCTGGGGCGCCTGGCCGGTGCGGCGGGCGAGGTCTCTGCAGGGGAACAGGACATTTGCTCCGCGCGGGGCTGGGGGGTCCTGGGGGGGCGGGGGGGGGCCGGGGGGTCCAGGTGCCAGCTCACCGCCGGGGAGGGCCCCTGGGAGGGGGCTTGGTGCTTCCTTTCCGTCCAGATGGAAAAGTTTTCCCGAGTAGCCGAGGTTCATTTGTGAGCAGGTGGAAGCTCACAGGGGCTCTTGCTGGCCCCGGGGCGACTCCCCAGGCCTTGGGGCCCCCAACCGTCCCCTGACCTCCAGACACCGTCTACATGGGCGCCTGGGAGACAGGGCGAGGGGGGGCCCAGCCTGAGCAGTGGCCACTGAGTCTCGTTTGTCAGGGGGTGGCCGCGATGTTCAGACCTGGGCCCCCTTCACGAGGGGGAGTTCTCCAGAGGGGGCACACAGGGGTGCGAGGCCTGCCAGCTGCCCGCTGTGTCCTTGGCGAGAGGAGGGTGCGGAGTGACCGCACGGAAGTGGGCCGGCACTCCTGGTGTCTGTCTGCTCCTGCCCGTGAGCGGGGTGCCCGCTGCAGCTCTGCTCCCACACCCCCGCGCAACACCCCAGCCGGGGGCTTGAGAAGTCACCGTCGCACACTCTGCCCGGTGACCTCGCGTCCCCATGCCTTCCCTGGGTCACCCTGGCAGGGACGGGCGGGCTGCCGTGTCCGGGGGGCACAGGCAGGGCACCTGGGTCCTGTCCTCTGACGGGAAGGGCACTGGCTGCACGCTCGGGCCCGGGGTCCGGTCCCCACGACAGGGCCAGCTCCCAGCGGCCCAGGACAGGGACCCAGCCGCCCAGGACCCGTGTCTGCGCTGGGCGCCCCGCTCCCACCCCAGCCAGCGGCCCCCCTGCTCTCCGCCGCTGCGGGCACCCCACCGTGAGTGACCCCCTCATGCCCCGGCCTCCCCCGGGTGGTGCCGGGGTCACCTCCCACACTGCTCCCGGCACCCGTGGGCTCCCCCCTCCTCCAGATGGGGGGCTGCCCTTCCCGCCCGCGGACGGGCTTGGCCGCAGTGCTCGAGGGCCCGGCCGCGGGGTGGCCGCGGGAGCCGGGGAGAGGGGCCCGGACGCCTCCACCGCAGGGACGGGCTGGAGACGCAGGAGGAAGTGCTGGCACAGGAAGTCTCCAAACGTGCTTCGCTCGCCACTTGCTAAGTTTACTTAAACCCTCTTTAGCGGGTTCATTAGAAGCCAGTGGACACGGGGGAAATTCATTAACAGGAAGGTGGCCCTGCGTTTGACTGGAAATTGGTATTGATCAGCCCCGGCGGGGGCTGGGCACAGGCCGCACGGGGCCAGGTGAGGGCCAGGGCCCGGGTGCCCCCGTGCACCGCCGGCCGGTGCGAGCATCGTCCCAGGGCCCTCGGCGGAGGTGGTGACGCCAGAAGAGGAAGGGAGGGAGAGGGTGAAGACAGCGGTGGAGGAGGAGGAGACATGGGGGAGCGGAGCCAGCCCAGTCCCCCGCGCCGGGCCGGCGTCTGCTCTGCGACCAGGCTCCGGCACCGAGGGAGCCGGCCGTCCGAGGGGGCCGGCCGAGGGTCACCTCCCAGCCGCTGTCACTGCCCTCCGGCGACGGGGATCCTCCCGCAGGTCTTCAGAGACAGCAGCCCCGAGCCCCACCCCTGGGCGCCCGTTCCTGGAGGCACACGGCCAGGGAGCTGCCCCCTAGGTGCCCGACGCCCAGGTAAGCCCTGCCCCTGCCTCGGGTCTCCTGGGGCCGCCTTCCCTCTGGGCCCACGGCGAGGGCACAGCCCGTGGGCCCTGGCCGTCAGGCTCCCCGGCTGCTCAGGATGAGGGTCCTCTCTGTGCCCCCCACCCCCCACCCGGGACGAGCGTGGCGGGGCTGGGGAGAGGGAGGGGGCTGGCTGGGCTCGTCGCCGTCTGGGGGGGCGAGCAGGGCACCCCCTTCTCCAGGCTGAGGGTGGGAGTGGCAGCCTGGGTCCTTTCTCTTCCCCCTGATGCAACACTCCACGGCTGTCGGGGGATCGAGGGGGTTCTCCAGACTTTCTGGGGTGCGTGGTCTGCTTCTGCCGCCCCCACTTTGCCTGTGTGAGGGAGGGAGGGGGGAGGGAGGGAGGGAGGGTGCTGAGGCCGCAGGGACCGGCCCGCAGAGCCCCTGGGACGGTGGGAGCCCAGGGCGGGGCTGTGCCTGGAGCCGGGCTCCGGGGTGTGGGCGGGCAGAAACCCAGGCCCGTGCGGCCCCCCCCCACCCGCCGCGGGGCCGCGCCTGCGCCCGCGGAGCTGCGCACGTGGAACTACCCGCCCGGGAGACATACTTCTTTATATGCCCATATGACCTGCGAAGCTATGGAATGTAAAGAAGTATGTATTTCAGGTCGGGGACTCGGTCGCCGGAGCGAGGGGGCCTCCGGGGGGACAGGCGGGCAGGCGGCGGCGGCCGGGCCAGGCCGGGCCCGGGTGGCAGGCCGCCTGGGCCCCGGTGACGGCCCTGTCCCTGGCCGGCATTGTTCTGTCACTTTGCCTGTGTCAGCAGGTGGAAGCACCCGTCAGACATTAAATATTCAGCGTGCTGACTGCGGCAGAGGGGAGGCGGCCCTGTGGCGGGCGCGGGGGCTGGGGGTGCGTGGGGGCGCCTCGGATGGGGACGCGGGGCGGCCTGCCCCTGGGGGTGTCGCTCCTCGGCACCCGGACACGGGCCCGTGGCCAGCAGAAAGGGCTGTGTGTGTGGCGGGGACAGCAGCTGCTCAGAGGCGCAGGGACAGCACCCTGCCCCCGGGAGGACAGGCCGGCGGGCGGCGGAGGGACGAGGGGAGGGCGGGCTGGCGGCCGAGGGGTGTCTCCGCGGAACGGCGCTGGCTGGCTTGAGGCCGTGCCCTCGGGGGCCGCCCGGCGAGGCAGAGGTGACCGGGCGCGTGCAGCTTGACCTTCTGACCTTCAGGGGCGGGGGCTGCCAGGGCAGGGTCCGAGGCGCCTGCGGCCCCAGGCCCCTCCCTCCCAGCACCTGAGGGCACCTTGGGCTCCGCGGCAGTGACCACAGGCAGTGGAGGTCTGAGTCGGGGCCCTGCTGGGGTGAGCCCACCGGGCCCCGCGCCCCACCCCAGCCCCCCCAGCCCCCTTTTCCCTGTTTTCCCCGACTCAGCAGAAGAAGCGAGTTCGCCGTGAAGGACAACGCCGGCCGCTTAGTGCGGGTGGCGTGTGGGACCCAGGCCCCTCGGGCTGGGGTGACGTCCTGTGGACCCCGCGGCTGGGTGGTGACGCCGAGACACTGTGTCCAGTGTGCGCGGCCGGTCCCCGCAGTGCTGGCGGTCGAGCGGGGGCCGAGGGCAGAGGGTTCGGGGTGGCCGGTGGCACCGGGCTGCAGTGGGAGGGGTGCGTGCCGGCGTCCACCTCTGACCCCCGATGGGGCCCACGCAGCCCAGGGCATGTCCTGCTGCCGTCTCCGGACGCGAGGCTGCTGTCCCCATGTGTGTGACACCTCCGCTTGTCCCTCGGCCCCGCGGTCACTGCCCTGGGCCCACAGAGGTGCCCCCGCCCCTCCCTCAGCCTGAGCTTTGGCAGGAATTCCTCCCTGGGGGTGGGGGGAGCAGGCCCTCCCTCTCTGCTGCAAGCGTCGGACAGGGGCAGCCAGGCTCCCTGTGCCGCCGAGGCCTTGCCAAGCTGGCTGGGACAAGGACAAGAGGCTGCTTCCCCGCTGGCACTTGGCCGCAGTCAAGGTCCGGGAGGGCTCTGTGGTCTGGGGTGCTTCCCGATGTTCGGGCCCCTCGCCTCCGGCCCCCCCACCACCGGCAGGGCCAGGTAGGACTGTCCTCGGCCGCTGCCTTCCTTCTGGCCGCCGGGCCTGGAGGGGCCCGTCCGTGTCCCCGGGAAGGTCATTTCTTCCCCACTGGCTTCCAGCTCCGGCCGCAAGGAGGGAAGTAGCCAGGTGTGCGCCCACCAGGGCCGGCCGCAGCCCGGCCGCAGGCCGCCCGCCCTTCCTCTGGCCGCGCCCGCCACCCATCAGGACACTATGGCAGGATGTGGCGTTCGCACGACAGCATTAGCGTCCGGAACTCGGCGGGACTGAGCAGGAGCAGGAGCGCTGGCAGGGAGAGGGCCACCGCCGCCTGCTCGGCCAGGAGCTGCCCGTCCGCGGTCTCCGGACCCGCCGCGTGCAGAAGGCACCCCTCAGACAGGCGGCGGGCCAGAGCCCCCTCCCCACGGCGGGCCCCTCATCCTGGGGGCTGCTGCCCACACCCGGCTGCAGCATCTGCACTTGGGGGTCCGAGTCTGGCTTTCCAGGGGGCGGGGCCTGGGAGCCCCAGGACAGCCACCGGTGGTCAGGCCTTTCCTTGCCAAGGAGGAGGGGAGCAGCAGCCTCGCCCAGGGGGGCTTCTCCAGGACGGCACGGGCACCCCAAACCGGCAGCCAGGTTTGAGGGAGGGAGCCAGGGTGTGCACTGGTGGCATCAAAGCAGGACCCACGGGGGGCTTGCCCCGCCACCAGGTGGGTGTCTGTGGGGCGGGGACTGGGCGAGGGGGCTGTGTCTCCCTCTCTGAGCTCTCAGAGCGGGCAGCACCCGGGGCGGCTGCCGGCGGAAGGGTCCGGAGTGGTTGTCCCGCGGTGGCCCGAGGCAGGCCCCAGTCCCACCGGCGGCGGCGGCAGCTCTGGGAGGGGTGGGGCTCTGCCTGCAGGGGGCTGGTCGGCCTGCACTCTCCGCCCACAGCGCACGCTGCCAGTGGAACTTGCACCCCCAAGGGAGACCGCCACAGCCGGGACGGAGGGCACAGGGCTGGTGTCGCCGGCAGGGGCCTGTGGTCTCCGAGTCCCCCGCTCCTGAAGCTGGGGAGCCGGGCGCAGGGGGCACGTGCGGTTATTTTAAGGCGGTCAGTCCCGGAGCAGGGCGTTGTGTCGACGGGCGGACCGCTTGGCGGGGTTAGCGGGACAGCGGGACCGCGGGACCGGCGCCGGCGCCGCCCCCGCGCGGTCAGTGGGGGCGGACTTCGCCCGAGTTGCAAATAGGCCCCCACGACGCCCCCCAAATGCCCTGCATGGAAAATGAGGGAACCTGAGGAGTCTTTGGGGCCAGGGCACGGCCGGAAGTTGGGGTGTGGAGAGGTTTGCCAGGCAGGAAAGTGGGGTGGGCGGGGCCAGTTGGCAATGGGTGGGGCCTTGTGGCGAGTGGGCGGGGCCTTGTGGTGGGTGGGCGGGGCCAGTGGAGCTGCAGTCATTGCAGCCACTTCTGCATAAAGGGTCAGCGGGGTCCCTGGTCAGAGGAGCTGCGTGCTGACTCAGCTTCTCCCGATGGACACACGTCCGACAGGGGACACACCGGCTCTCTGAGGACCCTGGTCACTGCCTTTGGTCACCCTAGGTGGGGCCTGGGGCACGGCCTCCGCACTCCCAGTGGCTCTGCTGTCTGTCTGCTCCCCCTCGCCCAGCTCTGGGCTTCCCCCGCTGCCTGCAGGCCCGGGACCCGGCCGGGCACAGCTGCCCTGGGCTGTGCTCCGGCGTGCCCAGTGGGGACTGCCTCAGGGCCCGGCTCGGACCCGGGCGGGCAGGCCGGCCACTGGGCAAGGGGGCGGCGCTGCACTGCAGCGGGCGGCGGGCACTCAGGCTGTTGCAGAGCTGCTGCCCGGGGTGCTGCAGTGCCGGTGCAGCTGCAGGCGGCATGCAGGGCTGCGCGTCTCCGGGGCGGGGACAGGAGGGCCAGCTCTGCAGAGGCTCCCTGGAGCGCTGGCTAACAGGCTGCCCGCTTCTCAGAGGCCCCGCTGAGACTCAGGTCAGGTCTGCTTCCTGCGCCACCAGGGGGTCCGGCTGGGTGCACGGGACCCGGAGGGCCAGGGACACAGGGCCGAGAGGCGACCAGCCCGGGGGGAGGACAGAAGAGAGAAGGCCCAGTGCGGAAGGACCGGTGGGCAGGTCCCTGGCGTGTCCCCATCCTGGGGGGGGGGGGCGGACCCCCGAAGGACCTGGTGGTCGGGAGTCTGGCCCCCCCCCCACGGGGTTAAACCTCGAGCGTGGGGTGGGGCCGGTGAGGAGCTGGGGTCGGGGCACGCGGGTGTGCCTGAGCGTGCAGGTGCGCGGAGGACAGCTGAGGGCGAGGGGACAGTGACCCGGGGTATTTTTAAACTGCGGGGAGGAGAGGAGGCAGCTGCCCTGGAGCCCATCACAGGGAGGGGGGTCAGCGGGGCCTCGGGAGGTTCAAGGACGCCCAGGACAGACGCGTGGTCTGGGCCCGTGTCCCTCAGCGGCCTGCGCGCCGTCGGTCATGCCCACATATGGCCCCCGGGCTGCTTGTCTCTCCAGCCGCCCGCCCGCCGCGGCCGGTATAAATAGTCCGCATTCCCAGCTGTCCTCCTGCAGACGCTGGACTGGGGTGACTCTGGGCCGGGGAGGCTCAGGCGGGGCCCCTTGCACCCCACCCGCCACCGCAGCGCCCGCAGTTGAAGCTGGGGTGGCCCGCCAGGCCAGCCCAGGCGAGGTCTTGAGCTCTGGCCCCCTCACCTGCCCCTTTGCAGGTGGCAGACCCAGGCGGGACCCGGAGACCTCCTGTCGTCCATCTCCGAGGGTCTGGCGGGACCTCTGCCCGCCGAGGCCTGGGGAGCCCCAGGGCCCGCACCCCGGGCTGGGGCTGTGGGCACTGCCCCCGGCTCTGTCCTGCAGCAGGCGAAGGCTGTCGCCAGGGTCCCCTGCCCCCCACTTGGTCTGCCACCGGCCGTTCCCTCCTGTGCCAGACGGCGGCGCCGTGACCCAGAGGCTGCGCAGCCACAGGCCAGGGGCTCGTCCCCTCCTTCCCAGGGCCCCTGCTCTCCCTCCACCTTTACCCAGAAGCGACCCTCTGATGGTGGATTTCAAACCACCCCCCAGGCCTGTGAGCAGAGGCCCTCAGATACTGAGTGAGGGAGTGGGGGGACCCGCTGAGTGCCCGAAGCCAGCTGAGGGGGCCGGCCGGTGGCCAAGGGCACACGGCTGCGTCATTCACGCCTCCCTCAGGAAGCCGGGGGGCCAGCCGGGCACCCTTCTCCAGTGCAGGGCCCCATGTCCGTTGCGTGTGTCGCTCGGGCCTCACACGGCAGGCAGCCCAGGCCCGCGGTGGCCTCGCTGGGTGCCCTGCAGCCATGGCCGCCCCTGCGCCCTGAGCCCAGGCAGGAGCACGGGATGCCAGGTGGCCTTCCCAGTCTCGGTCACACCGGCCACGAATGTGCTCCTGAGCCGCCGGCCCCGCTCCTGACCTCAGGGCCCTCTGGTCTGGGTCTCGGCCAGGCCCATCTCTTTCCCTAAATTATGCCGCGGGAGCCGGCCCGGTCTTCCAGGTGATAAGACACAGAAATCCATCCTGCCGCTTCGGCAAAGAAAGCTCCGCAGTTCTGTGACCTCTGCACCCCCCGCACGCCCTGTCCCCCGCTCGTGGGTCTGTTTGAGGCGGAATTGATCTCCAGGAGGGGTCCCATCCATCTGCCCTGCTCTGCTGCTGACAAGTGTATTAAAATCCCGCACAACTCTGAATTAAACTTTTATCAGGGTTGAGAAATAATACTTTTTTTTTAATAGAGAGAAAAGTCACAACACTGGGCCGAGTGTGTCCTGCTGGGTGTCTGGCTGGGTCAGTGTTGGTGACAGTAAGGAACAGTGTGGTTTAGGGGGGCCCTTCTCTCACCTTCTAATTTGGAGTCCCCCCGGAGACACCCCCGTCCAACCCCCCGCAGCCCCCAGCGGCCCCCGGGAAGGCCCCTCCTGCCCGCCTGGCCAGGCCCGCTCACGCTCCTGGGGCTAACCATAAGTCTTTGCTATTTATTTTAATAATTAACTGAAATCTGAAATTAAAAATTAATTTAGTGGTGAATCCGAGTGCTAATAGGTAATGTTGCTGCTGGAGAAACAGTGGGCTATGAATGTTTAAGTTTTAAAAGCTCCATAGTAAAAAACAACAACAGTAACAACAACAACAAAAACAGAAAAGCCACCAGATATGAGGTGGCGGCGGCTTCCGGGGCCCACGGAGGAGGGCTGCCACCCCGGTGGGACCTGCCCGGCCAGATGGGTGTTCAGACGGGGCTGGAGGCTGGGGGGCCCACCAGCCTGGCATGCCCTGGCGTCTGTCTTGGGGCCTGTGCCTGTGATGGCCGGTGCAGCGGCAGCCTCGCCTCTGCCACGTGGCCTCCCCGGGCAGTGTCTTTCTGGCAGGCGTGCCTGGCTGCTGATTGTCCTTGAACAGAGGTTGGAGGCCTGTTGTCACTCCGGATGCTGGGGTCAGTGACACGTTCTCCTGGGGAGGAGGGCCCTGTGTGCTTTTGCCTGAAATGGACGCCCTGCCCCAAGGAAGGGACATGGCCGGGGTCCCCTGCTGACAGGGGCATGAAGTGGCAATCCCAGGAGACCACTTGGGGCTGGCACCCTCCGTGTGGGGAACTGAGGCTCAGAGAGGCCAAGGCAATCCCCAGGACCCCCAGCTAGGGGGCGCTGCAGAGTCCAAGGTCATCCTCTGCTCCACCAAAGGTCAGACCCCGGAGCCTCGAGGTGGGAGGGCCACGGGGTGTTTAGATCCTGCTTATCATGTCCAAAGTCTGGCACTGGGGCCCTGATCAAATGCAGGAGGGCTTCCTGGAGGCAGCGGCAGCTGCTGCTTGGCCCAGAGGTGTTGGCACGTGACCACCCGGCTGGGGGTGTGCGGGGGCCAGGCCTCGGTGGCGGGACCCAGCCTCCTCAGGCGGTGCCTCTGGTGGGGGAACCCCTTGAGCTCCGGATCCATCTCCACCGCCGTAGTCCCCGGTCGTAACTAATTGGACACGCTGCGTTTTCAGAGCGTCTAATTTTCTATTGATTTTTCGCAGGGCTGCTGGTGTTTTCGGCAGCAGGTCCCGTGTCTGGTGTCAGTTGGTGCTTAAAAATGCTGAGCGTACTTCCCGTGCGGGATGATTCCATCAGCAGATGTTTTAAAACCAAGTTAATTGTTTGGTGCATAAAATGCCCCCACGGCACAAGCCGCGGTCTCCCTCTGCTGTGCCCACAGGACGACAGAGGCGGGGACGGGGCCTGCAAACGCACGGCCAGGCCCGGGCTGGCCCTGGGCAAGTGTGTCTTCCGGCTGGAGGCGTTGCCCCGTGAATGCAGGCGTGGCGGCAGGTTTGTGGCCTCGGGGAGGGCTCGGCAGGGGCGCCGCCTGCCTTCTGTGGGGGGCTCCGGGGTCCCGTGGCCCGGGAGCAGCCAGGGGGCTTCAGGCTGCCGGGGGGTCACGGGGGGAGGGGAGCGCAGGGCCTGGGATTGGAGCAGGGGTTCTGGGACCCCTGCTCCTGCTTCAGGGGTTCTGGGGCCCGAGAAGGCGCCTGGCCTCTGAGCCTCGGCCCGTGCGATGCCAGCGTCTCGGCCCTTTTCAGAGGGGAAGGAAACAGGACTTGGGAGGAGGTCGGGAGTCCCCACTGCACGGCCCCGTGGGGGCGCTCTGTGTGAGCTTGCCCACGGCGCGTCCGCCGTCGCCTGAGGCTGCATGGCCACGCGCCATGTGGGGAGGAGGGGGGTCTGTGGCGAAGGGACCTGGGCTCACGGTGCGTCTCGGCGATGCCGACCCTCCAGGCCTTTGCTGGAGACCCCTGGCCCTGAACCCCAGCCCGGGCCTGGTGATCCGACTCCTTCTGGTTTGGCGTCTGAATGGCTTTGAGCGGGGCCTGGCCAGGCCGCAGGTGGACGGGACTCGTGTGGGGCAGGCCCCGTGGGAGGCCCTGCGGCAGGAGCAGAGGCCTGTAATCTGGGGGCAGTTCCTCCCGGCCAGGGTGACACGCGGAATCAAACAGCGGGGGGCCCACCGGCGCCCCCTGCCCGGTGTGGGCTGTGCAGTGTTGGCTGTGGGGCTTCTCGGAGAGGCTGGGCTGGGGGTGGCCGGCCCCAGGTGCAGCCGCCCGGCCGTCTGCCCTCCGCCCAGCCCTGGCGGCTCGGTCAGCCCGAGGGGGGTCACTTCCTGTCGCATCTGCGCTCCGTGGGTAACAGCGGGGATGGTGGAAGCTGCCCGGGGCTCCTCGCTCTCTTCCCCGGTGCGTCGGTGGGGCCGGCCCGTGGGTCTGCCCCTACCTCTGTGCTTCCGGAGGTAAAGCAAGAGAGGTGTTTGCGGAGCTGGGTCCGGCCGCCCTCGCTGTCACCCGGGGGCCACCTGTCTGGTCTGGAGACGCGGGGCTGGGAGGCTCTGAGCCCACCCTGGGCTCCCGGTGACCTTCAGGGGGCTGACCTGGAGGCGGGAGGTCAAGGCGATGGCAGAGGGGTGTCTGTGGCGCAGTCCCATTCAGCACCCCGAGGAGGGGGCCGCAGGTGGGGGGCGTGGGGGCTGGAGGGCCGGTGTCAGGCTGCACCCTTGCGCCCACGGCCAGAGTGTCCGTCCCCGCAGCACCGGGAGGGGCAGAGAAAGAGGGGTGCTGAGCTGGGCAGCCGGGGGTACTGCGGCCACCCCGCCGGCCAGGCCTGCCTGTGCCCGGAGGGACCTCCACATACACGGAACCTCGAGTCCCCAGCCCTGCCGGCGCTGCTGTCCCCTCGCCATCCACCACCCCGGCGCACGGGTGCTGGCAGGGAAGCTGGTGCTCTGAGGCCGAGCTCATGTCCCCTGAGTCGGTGCCGGGGCCCGGTGGGGCTGAGGGGCGGTCCTGCCCCGGCTCCAGCCGAGGTCCTGGTCGGGCAGAGGGGGTCGAGGGCCCACACATGTGGGGGCCCCATCTCCCCAGGACGCGCCCCCCACCAGGGCGCCCTGGGCACCTGACGGAAGGCAGGGGACAGGCAGGGTGGGGTCGCGTCATCGACGGGAAGGGCCTCTGCCTGTGGCCCCTCCGGACATCCCAGGGGGCCCCGCGGGTGAGTCCAGCAGGGGGCTGGGAGGATGCGTGTCTGTGTGTCGGAGCGTGTGCATGTCTGTGCGTGTGAGTGTGGCTGCATGTTCCCGATCTGTGACCCGCCACACCCCCGTCCTGGCTGCCCCCCTCACGCTCAGGCCCTGCAGAACCCAAGGGGCCCCTCGGCAGGGCGGGCGCCTCGGGGGGCCCAGCTCATCCCTCGTCGCTCCGGGAGCCACCATCGTCGCCGTGGACGCCGCCGCCGGTCCCCGCGGACCCGGGAGCCGAATGCTTTGCTAAAGCTGGTAAAATGGAACCAAATCAACTGTTCAATGGATTTGGTCCCCTTCAACCAGCTGTAGCTGCGCATTGATCGCGCCGACGCCCGGCAGGAGTCACGGCGGCCTCGCGGAGAGAGGCCCGGCAGGGCCGGTCACTGCAAGTAAGCGAACCCCACCCCATCCAGGCCGGAGGCCGGAGGCCGCAGGACTGAGACGCCTGCCCTCCTCCGGGTGGGGGGTACTCGGAGAGGCCTCCCCTGCCCCCCATGTCCCCCATCCCCCCCGGGGGGCCAGCAGAGTGGCCGCTGAGTCTGTGTCCGGCCGCTGAGGAAATAAATGATAGTCTCCACACCGCGGTGCTCCCTGAAAATGTGTGTCCTGGAGCCCAGCCCCCGTGGGGCCTGCTCACTGTGGGCCCGCCCCCCAGGCACCCCCTAGCCGGTGACCTGAGGGTCCCTGTGAGGCGGCCAGGAAGGCTCAGGCAGGTGGCCTGCACGTCCTAGTGTCCCTCTGGTCACTCAGGTTCCCGGACGGCCAGCAGGCGGGGCTCCCCGGGGGTGGGGGAGGACAGAAGAAGCAGGGCTGGGCCCCGAGGCCCCGCCCCCAGGGCCCAGGGAAGCTGGGGTGCATCTGAGGGAGCAGCCAGCTTTTGTGAGAGGACCACAGGGAAAACAGGCCTTGCCGATAGCAAGGTGGACGCCTTGCTCTCCGTTTTGGGGTGCTGAGCTTTGGGGAGACACCAACACACATGCCCTTCCTGGGTGGGGCCTGGCACCAGGGGCAGGTGGACTGGTGCTGGGGGGCCCGAGGGGCCGCCATGAGCTCACAGGTTCCCGGTGGGTGGCCTCTAGGCAGGGGGCCCCACTTCCTCCAGGAGTGGAGGGATGGGGGGCCCAGGGGGGACCCCCGCTGTCACACCTCTCCCTGCCGCCCCTGCCCCCACTCCCAGGAAGACAGACACCCGGGGCCGCCGCCCTCTCTGGGGCACGTCTCAGGGGACGCTGACGCTGTCTGGAGGGGGGCCGGGGCCCGTCCCGGGGCGGGGGGCGACTTGGGAAATTCTTCCAAAGGGGGAGTGGGTGGCCTGGTCGGCCGGCCTCCCGCCCCCTCCTGGGCACAGCCCCCGGTGTGCAATGTGGCGTCCGACTGAGCCCCGAGCCGGGCACCCACCCACCCTTGTCCTCAGGCCCGGGAACCTCTGCCCCCCCAATCGGCACCCAAGCAGCTGACCGGTGAGCTTTCCGGAGACTAGGCATGGTTCAGGTCCATCTGCTGTGGTGGCCGGTGTGGTGGCCGGCACTGCCCCGGGGCTGGGACCAGAACCCGCGCGTCCACTCAGCACCGGCTGGGAGACTGGGCTCT